GCGGGGCCACTTCCGGCCGTGGGCGGGGTCTGCCCGCTGACCGGGGGGCCGCCATTACAGGCCCGTCCTCCTCCTCCTCCCGCCAGTCGGGTTATAAAGCAAGCCCGGTTGGGAGCGCAGGGAGCAGGGCTTCACAGGCCTTGCCCTGAAAGCCGGTTCCTCTGAGCGCAGCTGGCCCTGAGGGTGCTCACTGGTGTTAGAAAAATCTCCTTCCCTCACTATTAGATCAGTCCGTCTTTACAGTATGAAAGCGTATTAGCTTTGTAAATATACAGTAGTTCACGTTATGCACTGCAATGTAAGGAGGTAGTGAAATTTTACTGGAGACTTTGGTATTGTTCCTGCTTAAGTAAAACAAACCAAAGGAGAGCCCGGCCCTGGGCATAAGGCCTGTGCTGCGTGGAAGCTGAGAGCTGCCTGTGAGGGATTAAAGATCCCCCTGAACAACCAAGGTAACACCAGCATCCTAGCCTCTCCGGCATGGCTTTGAAACCCTCCCAGCGTCATAGAATCATTGAGGTTGGAAAAGACCTCTAAGATCATCGAGTCCAACTCTCGACCCAACACCACCACCCACTAAACCATGTCCTGAAGTGCCTCATCTACACGTCTTTTAAATTCCTCCAGGGATGGGGACTCCACCACTTCCCTGGGCAGCCTGTTCCAATGTTTCACCACTCTTTCAGTAAAGAAATTTTTCCTTACATCCAATCTAAACCTCCCCTGGCGCAACTTGAGGCCATTTCCTCTCGTCCTATCGCTTGTTACTTGGGAGAAGAGACCGACCCCCACCTCGCTCCAACCTCCTTTCAGGTAGTTGTGGAGAGCGATGAGGTCTCCCCTCAGCCTCCTTTTCTCCAGGCTAAACCACCCCAGTTCCCTCAGCCGCTCCTCATCAGACTTGTTCTCCAGACCCCTCACCAGCCTCGTTGCCCTTCTCTGGACACGCTCCAGCATCTCAACGTCCTTCTTGTAGTGAGGGGCCCAAAAATCATATACAAATATCAAATACAAAAATCATATACAAGTAACTCCAGGCAAGACCGACTCCAGGGATGTCTGGATCAACAGACAAGCAGCAAGAATGCTGCAGAAACAGGCTTCCTTTGCAAAGTTTTTCCTATGATTAGCAATCAGTAGCGTAGGTGTTAGGGATTAGTCAAATCATGTTGTACCTGAATGCTTGAAGGGTGTAAGATCCCTGTGTAAAACCACATTTGGGGTGCTCCAATTTGGACACCCCATGCGCATAAATATCTACCCTTGTAATTCTAGACTTTGCATCCCAGCCTCTCTCCTCAGTCAGCACGGGCCAGTTGCAAATTTTCATAACATGGTATGTTGCCCTCACCACTGCCGAGACGGCATTTTCCATCCTGTCACACCTCTCCCCAGCACGGCTCTTATCACAGCAGCAGGAGATGTGCTTCCTAACTTTGTGCTGAAGTCCAAGAACAGCAGAACTGCACGTAATTCTCCTGCCTATATTTTACAGGCTCATTTTCAGACCATCAAACATTGCGTTCCTTCCTCTTCATCCTCTGGGCAGGAGACGTTCCTGTTCACTTTATCTGAATCGTTCCTGCTTCGTTCGTAAACGCAGAGCACTTACTTGTTTGGAGGCCTTGTGACTTAAAAGCTGAGTTTTTTTGGACGGAGCTTGTTCTACTATGTAAAATTTGGTTAAAAATGAAACGGGATTTTTCTCCAGTTATTAAGGAACTGACAACTTCGTTCAACACATGGGGAATCCTCCGGCTTTCATTCCAGTGTTACCAAACCACTTCCAATTTACACAGGTCTGGCTTTGTTGTTGAAAACTGCCTGTTACGGTGTAGGGCAGTGGATGGGCTCTAACATGGCGCCTCCCAGGAGTACAGCCAAGCAATAAGGACCTTTATAAGACACATTTCAAGCTGTGCTGAAGTTGGACCAGAAATTATTTTGCTCCCACTCCTAATCAAGAGCAAAAAAAGGAAAAGAAGTTTTCCCTAATGTGAATTAGCCCAAGCAATCAAGCTCTCCAATTCTGAGAAAGCAACTGGTCATGTATTTTGTTTAAATGCATATTTGTGCTTTTTACAGCTTTTTTCCTTTTTCTTCTTTAATATCTCTAACTGAAAAGTTGCTTCATGCAGGGTTAAAAAACATTTGCTTTCTTAAGGAAGCAGAACCAAGTGGAACACCTGACAATTTCAAACCTTTTCCTTATCTGCCAGGATGCTTTGCTTTGGACAATGTCCAAACACACCTCTCCCACTGCCAGCTGCAGCTTTTTTCCCCCTAACTCAGCCAACAGCATCAAGCCAGCCTTAGCGTGCACTGGCTGCACCCACAGCAGTCGTGATCAGTCCCTGGGGATGGCACTTGCACCTCCCAGCACCTCCACGCGATTCCAGCGAGTGGGAAAAGGACACAAATCCCCGCTGAGGTCGGCATTGGTACGAGGCTACATACACCGCTGCCAGCCCGCATTCACTGCCTACGTGTTGCCTCTTGAGCCTACTGACGTCCCTCATGGCCACAGCAAACCAATAGTGGTGCCATCCAGGCTGCCTCAGAGCCATAAACACAATACTATGAACTGTGCTTCTCAGGGAAGCCTCTGTCCTTCTCCCTCCTGCACTGCCATCCCGTGGTCAACAGTCTGCTGGTTCAAGGGTGTTTGTGTGTCTGAAAAGCTCCCTGTTTCCCCCGGCCCTTTGAGTTACTGGGTCTGAAGAGATACATACCTCCCTCAGGCACGGCCTTTCTGCCCACATAGCTATGGATCTTGGATCTATAAATCTGAAGCAGTTTCCAGTATCACTTAATCTGTTCCTCATGAAATTCTTTGGCATTTGAATATTAGCAGTTCTTTCTCTGCACGGAAATAAACCAGAACACAGAAAAGATGCTAAATATGCCCGAGGCGCTAAAGAAGCCTTGTACAACCCGTTTTAGAGAAATACGAAGTCAGAAACATGTTGTGGTTGTGCTCCCACTTATAAAAGCGGGAAATGGGAACATTTGCTTTTAGTGAAGGATTCCACCACCAGAAAAACCCCAAGCCACCTTTTAGATGATACAGCAGCAGCATCTATGGTGGCCATGGATGGCTACTTCACTTACCAAGTCCTCAGCCCTGGGGTGCCACTGCATAACACCAGCAGCCAGAGGAAACAGCAGCCCATTGGCGAGGCATTCACACCTGCAGCAGTCCAGAACAAATGTCAAAAGAAAAAGAATTAAAGAATATTCATGCCAAGGTCTTGGGGAAAAAAAGGGCCCTCAGGAGCAACGGGCACGGGCACACATCAGGTCCTGTGGTGGAGAGAACACGGTCTCCAGATAGCCCAGTTTAGCCAGGGCAGTGCTGGCCAGGCTCTGTCCCAGCATCTGAACATCTTTGTGGCGTTATCTGCCCTGTGTTTGGGCAGGATGGGATTTTCCCATCCCTCAAACACCGTGGCCCTGGGAGCCAGCCCCCTCCCAGCGCCCCAGCCAGGGAGATGGACCTCAGCCCATGTGCTGTCACCCCGCCACAGGCAGCACCCCGGTGTCACCACCTGCTTAAGAGACACGGCCGGGAGTGCGACTCCTGCTTTTCTTCAGATGACCACCTGAGGGCAGGCTGAGGCCTCCTCTTCCAGCCTTCAGTGTTCTAAAGATAGAGAAATAAGCAGGAAAATTGGATAAAATGCAACATGATTTCATTGATTTCATTAAAGATGAATCATGCCAAACTAGCCAGCTTCTTTGTTAAGACTACCATAACTCTGGGCAAAAAAAGCGTTGAGCTAGCCCCTTTCAAATACCACTTCCCAGCTTGCAACCTAGACATTAGACAGTAATTCTCAGCAAGCCCTTCCCTGGGGTTATTTGTACGACCATCAATCAGGAAGAGACCAGAAGCCCCAGGATCTGCCACCTCTGTCATAACAAGAGAGCCGTGCGTTGCCAGCCCTGCCAGGGCGGCGGTCCCTGCACACTGCAAGGCAGCACACAGCCACGTTGGGCAGCAAAGCTATTGCATAGCATCAGACCCACCCAGAATTCAGGTGGGTCGTTCTTGCATGAAATTACAGCTAACCTTTGCCTTCAAGCCTGGTTCAGAAAGCTCTGAACTTCTCGCTAGAGTGAGTGGGTCTAAGTTTAGCAACTAAACTGAATGTTTACCACTCTGTATTGCAAACCCCAGTTCTCACGTGTCTGGTTAATATTTAAACTGCTGAGCACACCTGTCTCTAGACACGCTTTTGCAGTTTTAAGAATATGCCAACTGGGGGACAGCGTGCTAGGCTTCAGAAAGCCATGATGAGACTGTTTTCCTGGAAAAGCTGAGGTTCTCAACGAGACCAGTGGTGGGAAGAAGTATTTGCCGTCTACTGAGGAAGCACCAAGAGATGTGGAGTTGGTCGAGGCAACGCGCACAAGCTAAGATGGAACCAGCAACCGCACCCAGGTCTCCCAGTTGCTAGCAGCACTCTCAGAACAAAGTCATCCTGTCTCCATGACCACCATGATCCCAGCACGGGTCTTCCACAGCTGTTTTGTGTCCCATCCCAATACACCCCGGAGATGGAGGCAAGGGGCCTTGAGCAACCAACCCTGCAATGCTTTGGCATACGTCAACCCAACCGGCTGGGATGAGACAGCCACCCTGTTATTGCCACTTTGCATCCAGAGAGCACAGCGGGGATTTAGGCAGCCTAAGCAGACAGCTACAAGGAGCCAAAAATTGCAGGTGAAGATCAATGTAGTCCAGAGACTTGCTGTCCATATTTCCCTCGTTGCTGCTGTGGAGGAGGCAGCTGCAGCCAGTTCAGGCACCGCAGAGGGGACCAGGTCCACCAAAGAGCTCAGCTGATGACAATGACATGGTCCCATTGCTTCCATGGGGAGATGCTGCTTTACATCAGCTGAAGATGTAGCTTGCTGCCACATCAGTGATTTTCTCTCCGACTAATGACTTCGTCCTCCCATGTGTGCCAAACCCATTTATTTATAGCCCACAATTTTTTTCTCCCACCTGCCTTTGTGCTTGTTTTCCTTTCTTACAGTGTTAAGATGGGAGAAGAAAATCTTTTCCTCAGGTAAATCTCTCACTGACCTAAATGCAAATTTGTTCAAGCAAATTCAGAGAGCTTTGATCCTGTGTGAGTAAGAGGGGAAAGGGGAAGGGAGCAGACTCTGCTGCTATCGGAACGGATCTTTACTGCTGCGTAACAACTAGACAATGAAGCAAAAGCCACGGGAGTTTAAAGAGGAAGCTCAGCCAAGGGTCATCTGGCTGTCCTGGGTGCTTGTTATCAGAGCCTTGAAAAGAGGGAGGAAGGTGACATGAGCTGATTATAGCAACAACTGGAGAAGGCCGAAAGGGCTGGGGGAGCCCGTCACCGCTCCTCAGCACTCGGCATGCAGGGGTGCTTTGCTGTTGTAAAGCAAAGGGTTGGCAGAGCCTGGGCTCTGGAGCTGCTCGGACCACTAAGAGAAAATTTGTCTGTCTCAGATCCAAAGCATCTGCTAGGCAGAGAGCCAGAAAGCACCCTGTTAATTGCAGTACCATATTTTATTTACTGCCTTGTCTTTGCTGGTGATTTTAGTACTTTCACTGCTCATCCATATAGCTGAAGCGGTGAGGGGAAGGGTGACAAGGGGACAGAGACATACTGACACGAGGACATATCCTGGAGCGCCAGAGGAATACACTGCTACTCCCTGCGTGAAGCTATACAGTTCTTCAGCCATCCAAGAAAGGTGGAGGGAAGGGAGCTCATAGATGCCTACAGTTTCCAGAACTGGCCTAAAGGAGGAGAAAGATTCAGGAGTGAGAAATCCTGGCAAGCTGGATCCAGCCAGAATCCCATCAGCAGCTTTCTGGGCATCTGCAAAGTTGTCTCTGACCACTTACGTTGGTTCTAGTGTCTTAAGCCATCTTCAAATCTGTTACAGGAATGTAGACCAAACCCACCCAGCCGGTTGGGTTGACATATGCCAAAGCATTGCAGGGTTGGTTGCTCAAGGCCCCTGCCTCCATCTCCAGGGCGTATTGGGATGGGACACAAAACAGCTGTGGAAGACCCATGCTGGGGTCATGGTGGTCATGGGCGGTCATGGGTCCCCCTTCCAGTACAGGTGGCCCCAGCTCTGCTGGTCTTGCTGACCAAGGGCAGGCGTCTGCTTTCAGTCCCTGAACTTTCTCTGCTGTTGCCTGCAGGGGTGAGCGGAGTTCAGGCTTCACTGAACTCACAATTGCATCAACCCAGAACCCAAAGTGCATGGAGACTGGTACTAGGAAAACGCTAGCTGAGTTCACAGGAGTGAAGCTGAGACCTTTGGGACATGGAATTCCCCACTCATGGGGCACACGCCCAGCGTCCGCACCTGGCAGGGGCATTGCCGTACAGACCCTGGCACTGGGGCAGGCCTGGCCAGAGCGGGTAATGCTGCACAGTCCAGCACCACCCACCTAATAAACCAGAAAGGTATTATCAGCCTGAACAGTGCTAGAGGAGCATGCTTTGAGTTCTTCATCTCTCTCCATTAGGCTGCTTTCCAATCGACGATCACTGGGCTGGATCACATTTGGCCTTAACTTTTAAGCCTATAATCTTGTCAAAAGTCTTTGTCCAAAATATCCAAAGTCCAGGTTCCTCACTCTGCAGACTAGGGGAGGGCATCGGTCTGCCCCTGCTAAAGGATATCGAGTTTCCACACAAAGTATTACATGGGAAGAGCCAAAAGTGAGAAATCCTGGCAAGCTGGATCCAGCCAGAATCCCATCAGCAGCTTTCTGGGCATCTGCAAAGTTGTCTCTGACCACTTACGTTGGTTCTAGTGTCTTAAGCCATCTTCAAATCTGTTACAGGAATGTAGACCAAACCCACCCAGCCGGTTGGGTTGACATATGCCAAAGCATTGCAGGGTTGGTTGCTCAAGGCCCCTGCCTCCATCTCCAGGGCGTATTGGGATGGGACACAAAACAGCTGTGGAAGACCCATGCTGGGGTCATGGTGGTCATGGGCGGTCATGGGTCACCCTTCCAGTACAGGTGGCCCCAGCTCTGCTGGTCTTGCTGACCAAGGGCAGGCGTCTGCTTTCAGTCCCTGAACTTTCTCTGCTGTTGCCTGCAGGGGTGAGCGGAGTTCAGGCTTCACTGAACTCACAATTGCATCAACCCAGAACCCAAAGTGCATGGAGACTGGTACTAGGAAAACGCTAGCTGAGTTCACAGGAGTGAAGCTGAGACCTTTGGGACATGGAATTCCCCACTCATGGGGCACACGCCCAGCGTCCGCACCTGGCAGGGGCATTGCCGTACAGACCCTGGCACTGGGGCAGGCCTGGCCAGAGCGGGTAATGCTGCACAGTCCAGCACCACCCACCTAATAAACCAGAAAGGTATTATCAGCCTGAACAGTGCTAGAGGAGCATGCTTTGAGTTCTTCATCTCTCTCCATTAGGCTGCTTTCCAATCGATGATCACTGGGCTGGATCACATTTGGCCTTAACTTTTAAGCCTATAATCTTGTCAAAAGTCTTTGTCCAAAATATCCAAAGTCCAGGTTCCTCACTCTGCAGACTAGGGGAGGGCATCGGTCTGCCCCTGCTAAAGGATATCGAGTTTCCACGCAAAGTATTACATGGGAAGAGCCAAAAGGATCCACACTCATCCATGCTGAGAGCAGAGTGGGCAGGAGGACGTCAACCTTTCTAGAGAAACTCCTGTTGACAGCACTGAGTTTGGTCAGCACAGGCAAGCACACAACTTCTTCTAAACCTCTACGCTCCCGGTGGCCTTGCACCTCCTGAAGACCCAGGGTGGCCGTCTGCTCTCCTTTCCACACCATTCCTGCATGCATACCTACAAAAGCAGGCATCTGTTGCATTTGCTGCCTTTACATGCTGAAGGGAAAGATGCATCTGTTCGCAAAAAGTCACAGCAGCCCTGGTTCCAACCAGCATTAACTCTGTGGCATCTACCTAACCATCTCCCCTGCAGCTTCTTTCCCCTCTCTGAACAGCTTGTAGAGTTACTAAAGCCAGACCCTTCTGCAGTGAATTTAACTGCATGAGGGGACAGCAGTCCTTTGTATGTCCAAGCCCGTTTGAGGCAGACAGAACCGGAGAGGCTGTGCGGCCCACTGCCCACCACCCAAACCAGTTGCTTCCTTGCACGGATCATTTCCCCTTCCAACATCTCATCCTCAGAGAAAGAGGCACCTGGCTACTCTTCTGTGCAGTGCTAACAGGAGCTCAGCCTTTGCTGGACCTCTTGGCGCTACCATGACATTGGCGCGTGCTTGTGCTGGGACGTCTGTCTTGCCAAGACCACTAAAGGACAAGTGGGAACATTAAAGCCACAGAAATATGTAAGAACAGTGTTTTCCACTGTCCAAACAGGACAGGACAACTGGAAAAGGCTTATTGTTCAGTTTATTACCAACTCTGTTTGGCTCCATTTATTACTAACTCTATTAGACCCTATTTATTTCCAATGCCATTAGGCTCTATTCACTCGCTAGTGACTATCCCTACCCTAACTAGTATGTGCCACGCTGGGTCCAGCCCCATCACCTGCAGCCGCAGCGTTGGTGGCGCAGGAGCAGGTGGGACAACGTGGGGCTGTTGGGCTTTAGCCGTGGGGTGGCGTTGGCATGGCTGTGGCAAGGGCTGCTGCCAGCACGGGCATTGCCAGCCAGGGGTTGCAGCAGGGAGAGAGGCCAGCCCAGGGGAACAGCCCAGTCGCTGCGCCGGGCTGACACCCAGCCCTGGTGCCAAAGGTGGCAGCTGTGGCGTGGGAGGTGC